ACTGTGGGAGCGATATGCTGACTCTGCAAACCGCTTAGAGAGGGCTGAAAGCCCTATGAAGCGGTATATAAGTCTAACTGCTATTGCTATTGCTAAAACCTGCCAGTGGTTCTAGTCCAGATTGAGACTATAATTAAAGCAACAGCTCTGTCTCCCTCCTAACAATAGAAAATAGGGATCATCTGCAACTAATTTTTCTATATCCAGAATATTTTGTGATGGTTTTGTAGATATTCTCAAAAGGTAAGCTGAACCCTGAATTTGTGTGAACAATCATTTGAATTCCCAAGACAACTGTGCAACTGCTTGGACAATTTTATCGCATCAATAAGGAATAATTTAACCACTGCTGGCCAATACTAACACCCGCGAAAACCTCAGAAAACATATATATATGACTGCAGTTCTGCAGTTCGGCTGTTCAAATCTCACCGGCTCAAGGTTGACTCAGCCTTCCATCCTTCCGAGGTGGGTAAAATGAGGACCCAGATTGTTGTTGGGGGCAATATGCTGACTCTGTAAACTGCTTAGAGAGGGCTGAAAGCCCTATGAAGCGGTATATAAGTCTAACTGCTATTGCTATTGCTATATGTTCAATCCTATATTGTGACCCTGTGGAATCAAATAAGTGTTTGAGACTGAATCTAAAAAGCTTTTCCCTCTCTTTTACCATTCCCCCTCCCCCCCTCATCTCATGCGATCAATATGTCTCTTTCTGGCATATCTTAGGAGGCTTCCCTCTGTTGCTGAGATCTATTGCTGTTGTTCTTCTATGCAGTTGTGACCCATAACCGTCTCCTCTTCCCCACAGCATGAAAGAGCCTCAAGGTAAAATAGATTTGAATGAAAGCAGTGTGTCTGCACAACTGGGCCCTTAATAAACACTTTGTTCTTCTTCACATCCGAATAGGCAGCCTTCCTTATCTGTGACTGATGGAGTGTTCTTTTTCCATCTGTGTCTTCAACTCATCCCTCCTTCACCGGAGAGAGTTAACATGCTGTTCTGACTTTCGTCTCTTCTTTATAGTTGGTTTGGCTCTGTAGGTAGAATCTATTTTTTTTTCAACGCCTCCCAGAGGGGAGAGGAAAATGAGGGTGGCGTTAATGATTGATGCGTTATGTAATGGCAGGATACACCATCTCAAGTGGAACTTAATTCAATTTGGGAAGGGACCTTGGAATGGCCCCTTGGAAGTAGAATCCACTTTCTATGGATCCTGAAGTTAGTACAGCTGAAAAGATGACTGTCAGAGATGCAAGGTAGAAATATATATGTTCCTCTCCCTATATATTTAATGCCCCATTGTCATCATGGGTGAATCTCTAATCTTTGGCTCTTCTAATGCATCCTCTTTCCATTAAGCATCTGTGCCTGTGACTTTAAATCAATCTTGACTCCTGGCGATCGCCTGAATGAGTCCCTTCCATTTTCTTGGCAACATTTTCAGAAGAGATTTGCCTTTTTCCTACAAATGAAACAAGTGATTGGCCCAAGGTTTACCCAGCTGGCTTCTGTGTCTAAGACAGGATTAGAAGTCTAAATCTGGCCCAGCACCCTTAACCACTAAACCAATTTAACTCTTTGGCAAATGGGTGAAGAAATTATTTTTAGCCGAAAGTAAATCTCATGAGGTCGAACGGTACTGATCAGAATGATGGATTAGAACCAGTGGTGGGATTCAGCCAGTTCGCACCTATTCGGGAGAACCGGTTGGTAACTTTCTAAGTAGTTCAGAGAACCGNGAAGCCAGCAGCTCCGCAGCCCGCTGCTTCCCCCCCCCCTCTTTTTGGGAGGCTTTTTGGTGAACTCGGTGAACTGGACGCACCATCGCCTCCATTCTGAACCTTCAGCGTTTGAAATGGAGACTTTTTGGCGAATGGGAGGAAAATGGGAAGGGGGATTTTTCTGCCTGTCATCCATTCCTTGAAGAGCCGAGGTGGCGTAGTGGTTAGAATGCAGCACTGCAGGCCACTTCAGCTGACTGCTATCTGCAGTTCAGCGGTTCAAATCTCACCGGCTCAAGGTTGAGTTAGCCTTCCATCCTTCCGAGGTGGGTGCAATGAGGACCCAGACTGTGGGGGCGATATGCTGACTCTGTAAACCGCTTATATACCGCTATGAAGCGGTATATAAGTCTAACTGCTATTGCTATATTCTTCAAGCTCCACAGACTGAGGGAAGGATGGCAGGTAGGAAAATCCCCCTCTCCATTTTCCTCCCGTTCGCCAGAAAGCTTCCATTCTGAATGCTGAGGGTTCGGAATGGAGGGAATGGTGTGTCCAGGTCACCAAGCCTGGCCTGCTGCACCTCAAAAAAAGTAAGACCGCCTTGAAAATAAGCCCAAGTGTTTATTTTCAAGTCTAAAAGAAAATAAGACTCGGTCTTATTTTCTGAAAATCACGGTAGTTCATACATACATACATACATACATACATACAACAATTTATATAGCAATCTACAAAAAAACTATAAGAGTTGATTAATTAATTCTTTGCATTTTTTTTTCTTTCAAAGATTAGATCAATTCAACTCAACGGCAATTTCAGCACTCTGATGGATGAGATAAACTCCCAAGGAAGGTCATACCCGAAGACTCTGGAGAAGGTCATTGATGATCCTGGCAGCATGTTCACATCTATCAGGAGGGCCCATGATATGGGCAATTTTTTCAGGACCTGTCCCGTCATCTGAAATGACAGCCAAACAAGTTCTACAGTCAACTGGAGTTTAAAAATTAGGAGCCGTATCTGTGAACTGGTGTGTGTGTGTATGTGTGTGTTTGTGTACACCAAATACCATTCACATTCAACAATCATCCATGCAATTAATGATTTCCTCCTCAGCAGCAAAAAGGCCCTCTGATTTCATGGGAGGACATGTATAGTGTACACACAAACACACACAAGAGCCGAGGTGGCGCAGTGGTTAAATGCAGCACTGCAGGCTACTTCAGCTGACTGCAGTTCTGCAGTTCNGTGGCAGGGGAAGGATACTGTAAAAATCTCCATTCCCTCCACACTCCAGGGGAAGGTTACTGCAAAATCCCCATTTCCTCCCAATCAGCTGGGACTCAGGAGGCAGAGAAGAGATGGGGGCGAGGCCATTCAGAGGTGGTATTTACCGGTTTTCTGAAGTACTCAAAATTTCCGCTACTGGTTCTTCAGAACTGGTGCTTAATACCACCTCTGGATGCCTCTGATCTTCTTGAAAACACTGACAAAGACTAAAAACTACTCACTGCACAGATTCTGGCGATCCCGTCAGAGAGACGCTCCGTTCTGGTAGTCCTCCACTGTCTGTAAGAGAAAGGAAAGCCATCAGAAGACAGTTGTCAACTTCTTTCTACAGCAAGACATTTTCCCAAAGAATTTGAGCCTTCCACCAATCGTGTATCATCTAAAGGAGCTAGGATAGTTGGGTGGGTCTACAAAACCCAGCTTGCACTCTCTACAAACAGGGTTCTGGATGTACTTGACTAGCTTGGTATTAAAAGGAAACGGCAATCAAGAGAGAAAAAGTAGGATTCTTAACAGCTGAAAAATCTACCGCATAATTGCAAGCAGTTCACAGGTTACACAAGACCAGACTTCTGTGAATTTGATTGGATGAAAGGAATAGAAGACATAGTGGTTCCTATGTTTACATATGCATCAACCTGACAGTCAACCTACATAAAAGTCAACTTGACAAGAACAGAACGGTATTTAAGGCTGCATTAAGTCAATCCTCACTTTTTCTTTTTAAAAAAAAGCTTTTTAGCTGTGCTGTGTAAGAATACTGCAAGTGTGTTTCCATTTATTTTTCTCTATGGGTTTATACAGCATGGTAAGCCATAATGTAACTGATTTGATTTTGGTTTAGCAATGATGTGGAAACAGATATCATGGTTCATTACCATGGTTTGTAAATCATGGTTTAAGACTCAGCATAAATATTTCAAATAGCTTAGGCAACCAACGTAGCTTAGGCTAATTTGGGTTTTGAGCAAACCTAAATTAGCACAAGACAAGGCAATTTCTATGGCTCCAAAGACCCAAGTGATCCTTGAGAAATAAAAATAGGCTTATCACAATTAATCATGACCTCCAAAACCCATTCCCACATCTGTGATGGGGCTCCTCCGGTTTTGGAGACCTCAGTTCCTTTTAAGTACAACTTTCCGCCATGCACTCTACATGGGGCAGCCCTTGAAGAGTATTCGGAGACTTCAACTCGTCCAGAACGCAGCCGCG